ATATGAAATATTTAAATTAATATGTATGCAAAGATTTCTTGAGTACTACCTACTGCGTAGTTCTTGCTTGTTAATTTTTTTTTTGTTAAATATGCAATTAATTATTTGATAAGTTCATTACAAAGTTGTTAAGCGTACTAATTAAACCAGATTGTTTAAGAGCAGTCACTGTTTGATTTAAAACAACAGTGTAATTCTGAATTCTTATAGGCTAGTGGGATCAATCCATGGTCAAATTATAGTAATGCAGGTTGTTCTTTAATCATATTCATATATAATAAAAATGAATTTTTTTTTTAGATCATATGCAGTCCAATCAAATTAAATTCTAGTTGTGAAAAGGATTTGAAAAATAGTACAGAAAATAGGTCTAATTATAATTTTCCTGATGTTTGTAGACCCAAGTGCTGAAGTCATTGCTCTATCACCAACGACTCTGATGGCAACAAACAGATTCATTTGTGAGATTTGTAACAAGGGATTCCAAAGAGACCAAAATCTACAATTGCATCGAAGGGGCCACAATCTACCATGGAAGCTTAAGCAAAGAACAAGTACAGAGATTAGGAAAAGGGTCTACATTTGCCCTGAGACATCATGTGTGCACCACAACCCGGCTCGAGCACTCGGTGACTTAACAGGCATTAAGAAACATTTCTGTCGTAAGCATGGTGAGAAGAAATGGAAATGTGATAAGTGTTCTAAGAAGTATGCAGTTCAATCAGATTGGAAAGCTCATTCAAAGACTTGTGGTACTAGGGAATATAAATGCGACTGCGGTACCATTTTCTCCAGGTTTGTATTAATAACCTTAGTTTATTGTTTCCAGTTTTAATTAAGCTGATCACGAGTCAACTAAGTTTGAAAAAGTCAAGTTTGGGTTCAAATCTGGTTCCAGTGTACAATGAATTGAACACTGTCAATTTTGACCCGTTTCTTGCCATTTGAACTACTGTTTCCATCCGTGTTTACCAACTTTAATTTGAAAACCCAATTGGTGAAAAATCAATTCAAATCTTTTAATTGTCAAATAATATATATCGACGTTGACCTGATCATAACAATTTCAGCAACTTGGTTTGCATGACCAAAACTGAGATCTCTGCAACAAATTCAACTGGTTTGTCGAACAATTCAGGCAACAATTATAGTTAAAATTTTAATTCTTAGTATATGATAATATAAAAGTACAAACTTTCAATCAATTTCCAGTTATTAATCTGTACATGCAATCTATTTGTGCAGAAGAGATAGCTTCATTACCCACAGAGCTTTTTGTGATGCATTAGCAGAAGAAAACAACAAAGTAAACCAAGGACTAATTCCCCCACTGAGTACTGCAAACTTACAAGGTCAAGTCCCTGACTTTTTGTCTCCCATGCCACCATCCACAAGTTCAACCCTTGGGATATCTGAATTCCATCAAACTGACCAGAAAAACCCTTTGAAATCCCTTCCCCATGACCTCATGCCAATGCCTCTCAAGTCCTTAAACATGGCGGGTGGCATGTTCTCGAGCAGCACTGGTACACTTTACAATGGTCTAAGAAGCATGTCTTCAACCGCTTCATGTCTCCAACTTAGTCCCAATACCTCATCGAGCTTTGATGGCTTACACAACAGTAAAACTAGTCGACAAATATCAGGATCAGCCCATATGTCAGCTACTGCCTTGTTACAAAAAGCAGCACAAATGGGGGCAACTGCAAGTAGTAACATCAACTCTCCAATGATGCAAAAGAGCTTTGTTACAAGTATGACAAGTCCTGATCAGATCTCTGGTATGAGACCGTCAACATTTGGAGGAATAATGGACTCATCAATGCAGCAGCATAGCAACAACTCCTATGATCACATGCAGTCACAGCAAACAGATCAAACACAACTGGTTGGGAACGATGGGGGTGCGTTCATTAACCAGTTCTTGCACAATAATATCAAGGATCCAAAGGACATGGCACCACAATTCATGGATACACCAGTTGGGGCAGAGAACGATATGGGAGTATACTCTGGACTGTTCATGAGTGGTGGTGAAGGTAGTGATCAACACCATGGGTTTTCGAAGAACATGGGACATGAAAATGGTAGTATGTTTCAAGGGAAATCTAGTAGTACAGGGGTGGGGATTCCAGGAAGTGGTAGGAACACGACTGGGCTATCGAGATTTAGCGGAAATGGTGGTGGTGATGTGATGACTGTAGATTTCTTAGGTGTTGGAGGGTCAAGATCCGCAAATTTTCATGAACAGCATCATCAACCACGCCACCACCAAGACCAACAACAAGAAGAACAAGAAAGTTTAGACTTTGAAGGAATGAGTGAACATAGAATGCAAGGCTTGCACTCCTATCATCAACAGGTTTCACAAGGTCAAGCTACAATGGAGAAACCTATTTGGGAAGTTTGATTGAGGTGATCCAATTAGTACTATAGTGTTTGTTTAGAGTCTCTTTTTCTTCAACTTCTGTTTTTATGAGCTTTCGTAAACCAAGGAAGAAACAAGTGTATCAAATGAGCACTCTTGAATCCATTAATGAGTTTAATTAGATGAATTGCAGAAAAATTGATCCCATATCACAGCACAGTTTGTAATAGTAGCTAGTGATACGACTATGGAATACATATTAGGTTATAAATGGGCTTCCTTTTTTTATACGGAAGTGGGCTATAAGTTTTAAACGTCAACCAAGAAATCATATGAACTTGGGCCTAACTTTTTGTTTAATGGAAACGGGCTTTCTTTACCTTTTTGCGGGCTGCCTTTACCGCCAAAAAAACAAAAGAATAAAATAGTCAATTCAATATATATTAAGCACAATATAGTAATTTCAGTGACTCATAAGCCCTAATCGAAACCCTAAATCTCAAAGGCTCTTCTCTATATAAAACCCGTAATTACCTTCTTCTCAAATCTCAAAGTAGTGAGCTCAACAATGGTGAAAAGCTCGTTCGTTTTCTTTTTATTATTGTTGATTTTTCTTCATTGATATTGTTTTCAATTCTTCTCCAGATTTCGTTTTTATTTATTTAGCAAAGAACACATAAAATAGTTTTAGTAAAGGGAGGCAGTGATGTTGAAAAACTACCTATTTTCTGAAGGAAGATCTTCCATTTGATTAGAAAATAACCAATGGATCCTTCTGAGCCTCTTTAAATTTTTATATTTTTTTTTCAATATTATTTGTTTTGGAAACGTTGAT